ATCCATTTTTCTCCATCACATACAGATTTTTCACAAAACGTCATATGTACTTTTACATAAATGAATCATTTTCATTGAAATCGGGTCACATTTTTTATGTTTAAAATGTTGACAACCACTGGCGATAGATTTCTCTAGACCAGTCACGACGTGAGTCTTGTTGATCATTCTAAAACTCACAAAAAACACGCCACTAGTATATAAACGGTTAACATGCCACATGACGTGTCATTTCTGAATAGTATTTGTTTGTGCATGCACTTTGACATCATTTTTTTCTTTTCAGTATTATTTATTCGTCAATATGGCAACAAGAGGTTGTGTAAATGAACCAAACATATTCTGTTGTATTTGTGGTAAATTTGATGTATAGAAACAAAGGCAAAATATTAAAGAATTCGTCAAACAAGCATATTACGCATATTTTGTAATAAAACTTGGGAATCAAGACAAATCATGGGCTCCTCACAAAATTTGCACTGTTTGTGTCGAATAGTTGAGACAATGGACTGAAGGTAAGAAAAAGTCTTTGCCTTTTGGAATTCCAATGGTCTGGTGTAAGCCTAGAAACCATGGAGATAACTGCTATTTTTGCTCATGTAATGTGTAAGTCTATAACACTCAAAATAAAAAGGAAATTTCTTATCCAAACCTTCAATCTGCTATAAGACCTGTTGCTCATGAACTTGTTGTACCTGTACCTACTCCACCGGAGACTCTTGATACAGTTTCATCTGATTCCGAATCTGATGTCAATAGAAATGAAGATAGGGGTTGTTTTCAACCTGAAACATCTGGTGAACCACAATTTTTCACACAAGGTGAACTTAATGATTTCTTGAGAGATTTGGGCCTTCCAATGGATTCTTTAGAGATTTTGGGGTACAGACTTCGGGCTAAGAACTCACTTTCTCCAGGGACGTCATTTTACTGGTACAGATATCATGAGAAAGAGTCTGTACCATACTTTTCACAAGAAAGTTCACTGGTTTATTGTAACTATATTACTGAATTAATACCAATGCTTGGAGCTGCAGTCTGTGAACCAAGTGAGTAGAGATTGTTCATTGATTCCTCCAAAATAAGTTTAAAAGGTGTTCTCCTTCACAATGGTAACATGTATGCATCTGTTCCTATTGCTCATTCGGTTCACTTGAAGGAAACATATGAAAAATCTCAAACTTCTTGTTAATAAGGTCAAATGCAAAGGACGTGGTTGGCTACTTTGTGGAGACTTAAAAGTCCTTTGTATGTTGTTGGGTGAACAATCTGGTTATACAAAGTTTCCATGTTTTTCGTGTGAATGGGACAGCAGAGCATGGATCAGCACTGGATAAAGAAGCAATGGCCATGCGGAATCAGCCTCATACCAGGATCGAAAAACATTGAATGTGAAATTTTGTTTGACACAAAGAAAGTCCTATTACCTCCACTTCACATAAAACTGGGCTTGATGAAACAGTTTGTAAAGGCTTTAGACAAAGATGGCGACTGTTTCAAATATCTATGTGGGCAATTCCCAGCTCTTTCAGAAGTGAAACTTAAAGAAGGGAATTTTGTTGGGCCTCAGATTAGGAAATTGACTTGGATGAACAATTCAAAAGGACAATAAAGAAAGTTGAAATAGAAGCATGGATTGCTTTTAAAGATGTTATTGATAAATTTTTAGGAAACAAACTCATCCCAAATTATAGGTTTGTAATTGCTTAAAAATATATAATGATCCTTATCATGTTCTTCAAGTAATTTTCCAACTGTCATCAGTTTTATTAGTACAGCCTCTTGATACCATTATGTAATTTATGGTTTTTTACATATAAGATACCTGGAGCTTCTTTAGGGTTTAAATAAAGAATTATAATGCAAAGTTTATAACATTGAGGAACAAACATAAACCTGGGAATTTTTTCATTGTAGTTTCTTTTGACATTTTATCCATTTCTGATAATTTGATTGTGTTAACTAGAATTCAGGTGAATTTAGTTTGTTGTAACAAGTACAATAAGCAACAGGAAACTGTTTGGATGATACATATCCTTTTTTTATTTGGATATAGTTATGTGTATCATATTTAAAAAAAACATAAATAATGAATTTGTTTGTTAAGAAACTAAATTTATTAGATATCAGATGATCTCACCCAAGAATATTGTTGGAAAATATCATGATACCAAGGTTGTCTAGGTTATTAATAGTGACACCATTTTGAAAAGTCACTGATAAATCTTTGTTTTTTTTATGAGTTTTTTGAGGTTTTGTGAGTAAGAAATGGGTGACTGCTTCTATTGGCAAAATAAAGAATCAAAAGAAATTTGTTCTAATATATGTACTTTTAGGTTTGTTTAGTCTTTTTATTTTGAAGCCAAAATATTGGAAGTTAAACATTCTATGATATCATGTGAAAGATATTATTATTCAAAAATTAGTAGCCAACTCTATAGGCTGCATAATAAGTTTCACGAAACTGTATTTATCATTTCCTAGAAGTGTAAGGAACATGCAGCAACTTGGCAAAGATTAACACATTGCATGCCGGTAATCTTACCACACTATGCAAGATACTTTAATATTAAAACTAATGTGTAAAATTATTATACTGATATTTGTGAGGTTTTTTGTATCATTATTTTTGTATTTATGATTAACTGTTAAGATTCTTAACATTCTAGCTAGACTTTAACTGCTTTGTAAGTTTTTTGTTCTAAGGTATCTTTCCAGTACTGGAAAAGGATCTGAATTTGATAAAAAAGGCAGTAGAACTGTTAGAAAAGTTTGGCTGTAATAACTGTACATATATTTTTATATTTTATTACCACTGTTGGTTTTCTTGTATGTTGTGTTAGGTGGTACAGACAAGTTAGCAAAGTTGAGTGTATGATGATGAACTGGTTCAGATATTCTGAAATAATTCTCTATTGCAATACAGGCGAAGAGCTGACCATGTGGATGAAGAAGATCCTTTTCTACCACCCTCTGCTGTTCAGACCAACTCGCGAAGGAACCGAGACACGTATGGCAGTATGGGGTTATTCCCCCGTTTTGGCATTCCTTCTACTCAGACTCCACATTTTTCGTCATTGTGAGCACATTTTTTTTGTGATGCACACACTAGGTTGTGGTTTTGTTCGTAACAATGCATGTCTCAGTTTTGGTTTTTATCAGATTTTTAGGCATTTTTTTAGTGGAGTCTGAGATTGACATTGCAAGAATGTTATTTTTGTTATCAGTGTTACCCTAATTACAGTACCATATATGCATGTTATTTTTTTCCTTCAAAAGATTTTAAAGCTATCTGTGCTTGTCAAAAGCATTTAAAGGTTTCAAGCATGTTAATACAACCTCTTAAATGTATTTTCTTTTAGAAGTTTTGAGTTATAACATGTTAGTTACTCTGATTTAGTTGTCTTATTTCTTCATTTTGCATTTTTTCCATTGTACAAAAAAAAGTGTGTAGAATATGTTACCACATTTTTTGAATATTTTTGGACACTTCTTGATCATCTCATAAAATATGAGTGGTCACTTTTAAGACATTGAACCCACTAATGTACACTAAAGAAGTGTATTGCTGTACTGGTATTGCCATCTTTCTCAAGAAACTTTCTTTTTACCCATTCACTGCTCTATGCATCATATAATGTTTCCCTAGTTGATTGCTCCACACATCATAAGATGTTTGAGGTTTTCCCACAACCATTTGAAATCTCAGGCAATATTTGGTTATACCACAGAACCATAGATGTCACCTCCGACACCTGTACATAGTGGGAAAAAATATATGTAGTGTAAATATTAGGTATTTATATTAGTGTGTTAAGTGTAGTATTTGTGCAATATAACCATGTTATTCATGACCACTCCTGTGCCAGTGAATAAGATAAGAGAGGAGTGTGTACAAACAATTCCTGCTCTCCTTCCCATCTTTTCTTGCAGTCAGCAAATGTTGCTTTGGATACAAGCAACCCCTGCTTCCTCTTCACTTGGCACACCAGTCCTACATGGGTCATTATGTGACTTTTTGGTGTTTATTCTTTACTTTTGCATGCTATATTCTGATTTCATAAGGTAAAAAGTTTTTTTGTGTGCATGGGATGGTATGTTTTCCACCCCACCTGAGCAGTGAAAGGGTTAAATGTTCTCATTAACTGATATTGGTGTTATTTTTGTCCCTAGATTGATTAATTCTTTAATGGAATAGTATTAAGTGTTTTATCTAGCTTTAAGATTTTGTCCATTATTTCAGGTAACTTTTGGGTATTTTTATGTCATAAAGCTGTAAGCTTTGTTTATCTAAAGTTTATGTTGCAGAAAACTCATCTTTGTACTGAAGTTCATCTTCTTGGCATGCAGCAAAACACAATTTAATAAAGAAATGTTGTAACGTTTTCTAACCATACTTTTCTTACTGTGTTTATTTCCACTTGTATTATGAGCATTTTATTAGATACTGTTGACATACTTATAGCTGTTGATCAGTTATCTGCTGAATTGGACTGACAGTTTGTTAAAGTATTGAAGTCTACTTTAATGTTGTAAATTCTCTTATCAATGTCTCTTTACAACAAAAGTAATGTACAAGAAAATTTAACTAGTTAAATGTAGAACTTGGTAAGATTGTCAATTCATGAGTTTATTGCTTTCAGTAAAGTTAATTCAAGTTGTATAAAGATTATTTTGTTGCTAGAACCATACCTAAAATAATATAGGGGCATGATTTGATGAATTTGCTTTTCCAGAACTATCTGTGATACTCAAGTTGTTGTCATAAGTTCTAGCAAGACTTGAAAATCAATATTGAATAAATATTTTGTGTTTAGATAGTTGTAGATTCTGATGTATAAGCAGGCACAATCCACAAAATAGATTTCGAAAATAGATAGCATGTTGTACTTTATTAATTTGTATCTATTGTCAAAAAGTAGAGAAAGGAATAATATATTTTTCTAGTGTAAATAATATTAGATTTGTTTTGAAATGTTTTATGAACTTTTATTGAAGTGTAAACTACGTTCTGAGATTCTGACAGAATTTTTTTTTACCACAGCTCAACAAAGAGTGAAAATTACTACAACTTAATTTATTACTTTTGCTTCTACTATGGTCTTTGTCAGTAGTTTGCAGCATTAGGCTTAAGCTTTAAAAAAGTATTAGTATGTTAGTCTCTTGTATGAATATTTTTACATTCATACTTTTTGTATGGGCTGTAACTGAAGTTCTATTTTAGTTAGTTTCACACTACACTTTTACTTTTTACATTTTAGTATGTTATTGTACATGAGATATTGAGGTACACCGATTAACTGCTTGGTAATTGGCCACAGTGCTGATTTATAGGCACCAATTATCATGGAAATAGAGATAAGGGGTGGCATTGGACTAGTCCAAACATGTAGTTGCATAGCTTTATAGATCAACCAATGAAACAGTGCAACTTAAGAAACTGTAGGTGGTTTATGCTACAGGGTCTGCTAATTTTGGACAGGGGTGGCATTGGACTAGTCTAAATATGTAGTTGCATAGCTTTATAGATCAAATGAATGGGTTATGTTGTTTCTAGAAACTTAATATTGGACCCTTAGTTTTTCTTATAAGAGTTTAAAAATTGTTAAGAACAAAAATAAGGTTAATATAATTTGTAAAAATAAATTATGAAACTATTCATCAAGTGTATATTAAGTGCTGTTGACAATGATAGAGCAGAAGAAACTTTTCCCACCTATAGTTGTTAACTAACTATATAAGTTTATGTTGTAAGACCATTGAATGGCCTAGGAGAGATCTCTTTAATTTGTGATTTGTCATAAGCTTGACTTTTCAGATATTATACAAGACACTGCTTCTGCTAAAGCAAGAGAAACTAGTCTCAGAGTTATCTAATATATGGCTAATATACTCTAAAGTATTGGTGTCTCAGTACCATTATAATTGTTTGGTGTGTTCTCTATAGCTTATTATTTTGTAAACTATTTTATGTTACCTATTGTGAACATGTCTTTTCACCATTGTACTTGAGTGAATTTGGAACCAGATTAAGTAAATAGTATTTAGTATGGCTGTCTACTAAAGTGTAGGGACCCAAACCAAGTCTTTGCATGATTATGAACCATGTAAATAAAATAAAGAAATGTTTCTTTTTACATTATTCATTGGCCTATTGAGGATGTGTAACAGTAATACACCTTGAAGAATTTTGTTGCTATGATGTCTAGAATTATCCAAAATGATTTGTTTGGAAAGGTGGATGTTGCTGTTGAGGTTGTTCAAATAGTGTTTCTTGTTTAGTTTTATGTATTCAAGATCTTGTGATATTTAAGTAATAAAAGTGGAGTATAAACTCTAAAGATTTGCACACCTACAGTCCTACTTTCTCAGTATTCTAATATAAATATTAGTTCTTATCAGTGTATAAAAACAAATAAATTGCATAAAATAGCTTCATAAAGATAACATTTTCTTTGGAAGGTGCTAATATTCTATTCTTAAAGATCATTAAGTTACCTAAGGCTTGCTAGCACTTGTAAATTAAAAGGAATTGATCAGTTAATGGGTAATCAACCAAATTGGTATGTGATACACAGACTGAAATAAAACAAGAAATAAATGTGTTCAAGCTGGAAATTAGATTCCAAGTCTTTTCTCATATTATGTATTTTGTAGTCTTTAAGTACTTAAATGGCATGTACTCAGAATTACAGACTAAACTATTTATAATTATGTATCTTATTAATGTTCTTTATTTAGTAGTAATTTTGATTATTTTAGAAGGTTAAAATGGATCATTTTCTCCTGTAGAATTAATTTGTGCAAAATTATAATGCTAAAGTTTTTAAACATACGAGTATGTAGATAACGGAGCCAAAATAACATCCTGGAATAAACCATGTATGCCCTTGAATAAAATGATCCAAGTTACTACCACTGTATCATTACTAAAATTGAATGTTAAAGTTTTTAAACATACGAGTATGTAGATAACGATGCTAAAATAACATGCTGGAATAAATCATGTATGCCCTTGAATAAAATGATCCAAGTTACTACCACTGTATCATTATTAAAATTAGAATGCTAAAGTTTTTAAACATACGAGTATGTAGATAACGGTGCTAAAATAACATGCTGGAATAAATCATGTATGCCCTTGACTAAAATGACCCAAGTTACTACCACTGTATCATTACTAAAATTGAATGTTAATGATAATCATTTAAATTATTATGTGATATTTTCAGTATACATTTAATTGATCATTTATTAATTAGGTGAAAAATATTTCCACAAGTGTTTTTTAGATAATTTAATCAATTGTACAATGACAATTTAAAGCAATATTTTGTGCTATATTTAAAGGTAAATATCCACAATATTTATGTGTTTATACCTTATCAATTTTAAAATATTAATACATGAGTTAGTTGTTAGAACAATAGTTTAAGCTTACTGCATTAAAAACATAAATACACATGTTTTTTTGCATATTTTCAAATGGTAATAGTTATTGTAATGATTTTCTCTTTACTGTGAAACATTTCATCAGCAAACAAAAATAATATATATTACAGGAATGGCCATTCTTCTGATCAAGCTTATATGCAGGGCCACTACACTCCTCCACCTTCTGTAAGTACATCAAGATTCATAGTTCTTGCTGTTATTTCAGTATTAATGTATTCTTTTAACATATATAAAGTTGTGAATATAAATATACAGGCTTGGTCTGTATTGCTTCTGTTTAAAGTACACATGATTTTTCTGTAATTCCAAACTGTAGGCTTGCTTACACTTGATATTAGTGTGGTCATGCATAATGTGTTGATAAGTACAGGACTAATGGGGTGTTTAGTGTTGTAAATAGATTGCTCACTACTTAAGATGTTTAATAAATGTCTATAAAGAGCTGTTTAAAAAACTCAGGGGTATTGTACATAGTTAATGTTGAAATAAGGGCTCCCCAATATGGAATTCTGCCTTCAGGAACCTTTGGGTGGCCCTGCATGTAGTTGAGGCTTATTTATAGGTTTAGTCCTTGTACTTACAACACATTATCACAAGTAACATTAAAAACAAAAATTGTTGCATTGTTCTTTTCAGAATTATGTTGTTTTCTTTTTCCTTCACTTGGTAATATTTTTGTTTTCTTCTTACTTTAATTTTGCATGTTTTTGTTTTCATCTTTAACTTTGTATTTTAAGTTTATAAATAGTATACCTAAAAAAAAATAATTTTATAATAAGCTCTGTATCTTTATGATAGTTTTTGTTATTATTATAATTTTGTGCATGATTATTTTTTTTTCCTCTCCCTGTCCTTTTCACCTAATCACAGTATCACCAACTTTCTGGGGGTGCATTTGTGGGAAATCAAGGGAACTTTTCCCAAAGGGCCTGATGATAAGTTCACCTTCTTACACAGCATGACAATGACTTGATGTGTGCCACGAAGTTCTGAGACATTGAGCCAGTTTGTGGAAGAATTCAACTTGGTGAAGACCAACTCATCGAGAGGTCTGTTATAGCAGGAATTCTGTGGTGCAGTGTTTTATTGTTCACTTTTATCATTGTGCTTTGTAAAGATGTAATGTTAAACTAGTCTTTTTTTTAGAACAAAACTAAAGGTTTTGGTATGTAAGGACTAGAAATTTATTAAGGTAACCAACAGATATGGAAAAAGGGAAAAACTTGTTTCTCTTCATAAAACTGGTTAGCATTGATGTGTCCAAATAAAAACTAAGACTTTATATTAAGGCATGTGGTTTGCATGTATGCTTACTAAATATTAAGAATATTTCTTGTGCAAATGGGCAGGAAATACAGTATTTATAAATTGGTGTTATTCTGTTTTGAATTGTAGTATTCTGTATTTGTTGAGATTGGTAATTATATCTTTTATTTACTAGTCAAAAAGTTTAATATATGTACATAAGAATATTAAGAATATTTCTTATGCAAATGGGCAGGAAATACAGTATTTATAAATTGGTTTTATTCTGGTTTGCTTTGTAATATTCTATATTTGTAGAGATTGGTAATTATATCTTTTATTTACTAGTCAAAAAATTTAATATACGTAATACAAACAAAATGGATTATTTTAGAAGTTTTATATTCAAAGAGAATAACAACATAATAATTAAGAAAATATAACTTTATAACAACTCCAAGACTCCTGGACTTTGACAAACAAACATTAGTTGAAGTTTTAATGATTTGTGCTGCTTGGCATTTTAAAATAAGAAATGTAATTATAAAATATTGTGTATTCTTAATTCCTTCAAGTTGTGTATTGTTAGCTTGGAGTTGACTTGTTTAATGTGAGTAAGAGTATTTCATTGTTTAGTATATTATGTATGTACATGTTGGTGCTATTAAACATGTCTACTTTTTTATGATGATACTCAACATGTATGTGTAGAAACTCATGTTTTTTCTTTGTTTGTTAATAGTACTTGTGAACAAAAAACGGTGTTTAATCTCAAATACTAACCATTCCTGGACTTTCATGTTTTTAATGTTCTTCTGCTCTTCATCACTCAAAATCCAAAAAAACATAACTCGTGTAATTGATCAAAAAGGCATAGATAATAACATCAGTCTGAAATGTTAGGGTCTTTATGTAGTGCATTTCAACTTCTAAAATTGTAAATAAAGTTCAGAATCGGATAGCAGTATGTTGAAAAAATCATCATCATTGCTGCTAAAATTATGAAAGGTACAAGTTTTTCTATTTAACCATCTTGTCTAGGCAAGACCTAATTATATGGGATGGAAAGACGTTTTTTGAAAGGTGTTGAGATAAAGTGGCAGTTTTTAAAGGCAAATTCTGCATTAGTTAGAGAACAATAACATGTTTACATAAAGAAATATTTTTTCTTTGATGATTTTTGGTAATTTTTATATTTTACATTACTGCTCCGACCATAAAAAGGAATGAGAAACAAATATAATAGAAATATGTAAATCTTTATTAAAGCATATTTTAAGTAATTGTATTCAATGGGGTGGTATTTCTATAGGTGGTAGATAGGGCAAGTCCAGAAGGATTTATCTAAAGGAATATTTTCAGAAATAAATAGATAATAAGTATACAGTGTACTTTAGCCATTTTTTATGTGATATATCAGAGCAGCTTGTGGAAAATAGTAATCTAAACCATAAATATGCATGAAAAAAAAAACTAGAATATTTACAAGATAATTTTTTTTTTCAGTCAGATTCTTGATGTAGAATTTAGGAGGCTTTTACCATTAAGGTGTTATGCACATTTACTTAACTACATTGAGATGAAGAATAAATCGGTCTGTTGGCTATAGTAGGTGGATTCTTAATAAAACAGAATGGTTTCAACTGTTACCATGTGTAGTAGACGTGTTTTGGTGTTCCTCGAGAGTAATCTGTGAGCAGACATAGGAAATTATCTTTGTATTGAGTAAATATTAGTATGTTTAGCATAGTTTGTCAATGTTAATTTAAAATCAAGCACATCCCTGTATTAGGAAACAGTATTTACCCACAAATTACTTTTTCCCTTATTTCCTTTTAAGATTGTGAATACAGCATAAAAGCCAAGACAAGTAAAGTATAGCTTGTATTGTATTTCTGCTGTGTAGATTAATTTAGGTGTTTTATTATTAATGAATTTTTTTGATATTATGAGTAAAGTGTATGATATACGTGTTGTTAGCAGTTCGGTAGTTTTAATTTTTTATAAGTCATTTCTCACTTTTGTAATTTAGTCTTCTGTGTTTTGTAATACTGTCTGAAAACTGAACAAAATGGGGTTTTATAACTCTTACACAATGCTTGTATACATTTGTATGATATATATTCTGTGCATGAATGAAATTTTAAATAAAAACAAATTCATCACCTTTTATACATTATATCTTAAATATTGAGCTGGTTTGTTGGATATCTTGCCAAAAGGTAGCTTTAGCACTTCTTAAACTAGCTAGTTTTGTGGTACTCTTCTGTAACCAGCTTTAAAGCCATATGAACAATAACAATCACTAGCCTGCCAGTGAGAACTAATGTTTTGAATAAAGTGTGTTATGTCACGCACAATTTTCAACCACAAATGCGTGCCAGGCCTTGTCTGGTACTAAGCAATGGTACACTTTCCTGGTTAGCATTGCTTGTATGTGATTTGCTCAGCTTGTTGCTTTGTTGTAAATATCTGCAAATTACCAAACTTTTTCACTTAAATTTTTTCATTTCAGTCATTACTTCTCATAAGTTCATCAGTGTTGTTCATACAAGATTTTGCATGTTTATTGTCAAATGTTTGTAAATTGTAGAAATAGTTATGTTAATAACATGATAAAGTTATTAAATGATGAATCAAAACACACCATTTTACTTTTAATAACAGTTTTCAAGTTTTAAGCATTCAATGTGTAATATATTTTTTAATTTTGAATATTTTTTGACCAGTATACATTTAAGTACAAAATTTGTAATCCATATTGAACAAGAGACAAATTGTACAGCGTGTTACTGATTTTAATGTGAGCAGTTTAATAATTTCTAAATACTTATGAATACTAACTTCCATAAAATATCAGTGTATAATTTACAATACAGTGTTGATTGCGATGCATATTTTAGTGCCATTTCAGTCTACTTTCTCATGATTTTTCACTTTCATATAGAAAAAACTATTTGATGTATGATGGTTTGTATTAATGAATAGACATATTAAAACAGGTTTTCTACAGATTGTTTTATTCTAACTCTAGTGCTTGTTGCACATTAGTACATTCCTATTAATATTTTAATGGTTTAAACTGTCCCCTAAAAATCAGTAGTGATTTTTTTTTTTCAAAATTTTAAGACAATCACTTAGTTGTTTTAAATTATATAACAGTAAAGTCAAACAACTTTATAATACAGTCTGTGCTTTCCTGGCTGAGATATGTTAACCATATTTTCACATTCACTTTTTTCAATAGTAATATTAGCAAAGAATTATTATTGTCTTCCATTTACTTTTATAAGAGTACAGTGAGTTATTGATGTGTTATTGATTAATTTAAAGGTGTCAGTATATTAATTTGACATAAAACATATTGTCATAAAGATATTTTTGGGTTTTGACCAGTAAACTTTGCATGTTTAACTCTGGTTTTGTGTGATGTACATGTAGTATAATACGTAAAAATCTCATAGTATACATTTGGATATTGATTGATTAAGATTTTATCTACATGTCGTTGATTATTGTTGATTTAAATGTAAATATATTCATATTTGACTCCAAGAAGAAATGTGTGAACAGTGAGATCTAAGTAACTGGAAGATGTGCAGTTTCAGTAACAGTGTAAATGTGATTTAATAGTGAAATGTCTGTGTATGTTCAGCTTTAAAAATCGTGAAGTTTAAAAGAGAAATATTTCCAAATGTGTTAACAGTTTGTATCATTCTTCGTTTTATGTCCCTGAAAAACCAATACCAGCGATATATTAAAACAGGTGAAAAATGTGTTATTGAAAATAGCAAATTAAGTAGTTTCAAATGATATAAATTGACAACTTCAACAATATAGACTTTGTTTCAGCTAATGTTTCACTACCTTGCTTTTGACTTCAGCATGTTAGTTTTCAAAAAATGTATAAAAAATTTATAAAAGTGATTAGGTTCAAATGATACTGACTTTTGTATTTTTCACTTTAGGGAAGATATTTATGTTCCAATAGAGGAAACATTTAATCTGTGTTGTTGCAAAGGAACTGGGTTCAGTTTCTTAACTGCATGATTATGATCTTTTCAGTGCCTACTTTGTTTTTATACTCTGTTTTGACATGCAGATAAATTTCATGGTATGTTCTGTGTTGTGTCATTTTGAGCTTGTTTAACCTGTACTTTTTTTATTATTTGTACAGTAAGTTTGAACCGATCCAACCTTTCTCTCATGATATCAAATCTAGTGGCCATTGTATTATTTCATAAAATCACAAAGTGTGTGACTGTTTTTTTGAAATACAAGAATTCATTGTTCTGTCAATCTGCTCACAACTTGTCATGACTGAACAGGACATTCATTCTTTCATATGCTTCTATGTGAATGCATAAGAATTTTACTTTTGTCATCCTTGGTTTTATAATTCAATAAGATCTCGGTATTTGAGTCAGGATTGGTAATAGAGCTATTGTATTGAAGTATGTATCTGTAGTTCCTTGTGATTGAGTGAAGCATGTGTTTGGAGATATATATATATATGCACGTGCACACATACACGCATACACACTTTTATTGATGTAACCATTCTTAACACTAGTGTTGTTAACTTTATGACCCGGAACTGCTAACTATTGTTAGATAAATTTTTAAATAATGTTTGTTTGAACATTACAAATTCACAGTGTTTTTATTTGTGAGTTATTATCCAAGAAATATTATTCATGTACTGTCAGTGTGTGGCAAACATGTAGCAACAATTATTCCTTAAAATTCCATGTTTTTATGATATAGTGATCATAGAGGAGAAGAATAGCAAGAATATGGGAAGACTATTATCCACAAAGTTTCATGTATTTTTGCAAAATTGAGGAAAAATGATCATTAATGTAATTTCAAAATATGTTAACATTAATGTAAAACAAATGCTCATTTATCTATTGTAATCAGTTTAATTTTCTGACACATTATTTTTTTTTAAGTTACATATATTAATTAAATGAAATTTGGAGTTATTTACACAACAATATTTCAACCTTTTTTGTCTCTGTACCTCTAGTTATCAGAATGAGAACAGGTTTATTAGCATGAATAAGCTTTAATATATTTTGGTGTTTGTTAGATACTGATGTATCTAGTGTACTTGTCTGTACGAAACTTAAATTCTACTATAAACAATAAAGTTAGTACAGAAATGTAATATAGAAAAATTAATTGTTTTAAAGTATTTAAAGTGCACGAAGGTCTTCTGCATAATTCACAGTTACAAAATGTGGTCAAAATACATGATTTAGTATCGATGGTATTTCTAGAAATAGAAGTCATTGTGGTATTTGTAGTAAATATAAATTATTTTGAGTATCAGTTAACTGTGTAGTAGCTAGTAAATTTTGTGTTTGTACAAGTATTGTCCTTGGTATAATTAGTATTGTTGAGGCACTACGCTATAGTATTTGTAATATTTGATTTTGTAAATATTTTGATGATACTTTAATTAAATGTGTTTTTTGTAGTACAGTTATTAGAAGAAAATCAGTGTAATACTATAGAATAGAAATGTTCCTGTATTGGAAAACTTGTAGTACTTTTGTATCTGAAAAAAAAAAAGATATTTGATTTTATCATTCCATTTGTGTTTCTTGGAACCAATTTTTAATTTAATTATTGGAATAAGAAACAAATGTTTTTTCACTCCAGAATTTTTTGTCGTATTTGTATATTTAAATTGGACTTTTAAAATCTCGGATATTGTGTAGTATTTAAAGCACTTCGTATTGCAACAAGTAATTGATTGTAAGTTGTTTCGATATTTTGTACTTTGTATCTTTCAATAAATAGTACTCTTTGACGAATATCAAAGTTCTTCTAATTTTGTTATCATTTTTATTTCATTACTATATGTTATTGCTGTAATAGTATCCTATGAACAGGTAATACATACGTTTTTTGTTGTTGTTGTTGTTGTTGCAAACGATTTCAGTGTTATTAGCCTGCAGATTCACTGGTGAGCCACTTCGGGGTGGAGGGCATAGCTGACAGAAGTGTACATATGTTACAGCAGGTGGGAAAATCTTTGGGTAACAAAACGTAGAGTTGATGTGAGCGTGGAACATGAAAAGTCTTTACAAACAATGATAACAATCTCTACTTATACAAAAAACTGAAATTAGTTAAAGCTAATATAGCAGAACACACACTAAAGATGTATCAAAATTCATCTATTTAAATTGAATGAAATAACAGAGAAAACTATACTGCTTCAAGAAGTTATGGCAATCAAATGTTTGTAATAATTTTGACATCAATTCAAAAAGCAGTTGCACCCCTCCCAAATAGCCCAATGTGGCTTTGCTCTAAAACAAACAAAAACTGTATTTCGATACCCTTAATGTATAATTTTGATTAGCAACAAGCAAACAAACAAATCAAAAAATAATCGTTTAGATTGTTAACACCATAAAATAAAGATGAAACTTTGGCTTCTGACTAAGTTTGGTAGTACTTCCTGAAAAACAAAAGTTTCTTTCGTTAATTTACTAAAGTTTTTATAAAATAACTTTAATGCTTTATTCTCATAACTTTCGTTTCAAGTTGATTTTAGTTTTCATTGTTGACTCTGATACCGCCAGCTTAAACTAGTGTTAGGAGGTTGAGATGTGTTCTTCTGTATGTTTATTACCCACGTGCAATGTAGGATAGGAATACTTCCATCAGAAACGTTGACTTTTAATTTTCTGTTTCCGTGAAGATATTCTCCCATTCTAGAAAGAAATGTTTACTTAACTAACAATAACAGTTATGTGTTGTAGAATCTGCTGCTGTTGTGATAGTGTATTTAGTTTAATATTTTTGGCAGCTTAGTGCTGAAATTGCCAAATTTCTTGCATATATTATTCAGAATTTAATAAGTAGCAGAATATAGTGTTGGAAGATGTCTTTTTAAAGTAAGATATAAAGTTAGAATCTGTTGTTGACAAAGTAACAATGACGTATTTTCACGTGTTTCAATATCAGGAAAATTGCACTTACCCCCAATAATTGTAAAGGAACGATAGGAGACTAGTTGCCAAGCCCGGGAACTAGAACAAAATATAAAAGTGCGTACTAATCAGGTTTCTTCGCTGAAATGAGTTCTCCAATATCGCCTGTTCAAGATTCTGATGAGCACCCACTTAACATGGTGGGCATTTTTTTCTACACTCAAATTAATCTTATATAAAGAGATGGAAAATTATAGACGCATGTTTGGTCCATTGAGGTACCTTCTCAGAAAATCCAACTAGACACTAAAACAAAGTTTCAATCCAAAAGTAACCCGAGTGGGCAATATTATACAGAGGGCTAAGTACTTCATATTAATAGTAGTTGAATATGTCACTTGACAACCAGAGTCAATTTCAAGTCACGGTGGAATGAAATGGAATGTATCAAAACTACATTTTGACATTATTTCATGTCTGTAGCTAGTGTAATGCCATTGAAAATTGATAGCTTTTGAGAAAGGTATGAAAAAGCTCTTTCCTGCATAAAATATTTAGACTCTTAGATCGTAAAGATGGGCTCAGATCAGGGATTTAGATTTTCCGAAATGAGAGGATATCCCTTGAACTTAATGGACTGGAAAACAAAGGAATATAGACCAGTTTGGGGCTAGGATGAACTAGAAAAAGATCTCAAGAAGTCGAACCCAAACCGTGGTAAATAAAGTGCAGCACCATATAACAGGTGAAAGTCCATGAACACAAAGTTCATTGTAAGAAACCTTGTACGTGTCTATAATAATACACGTAATCAAGAAATAAGGATCTCATTCAGAAAAAATGACACTATTCATGTGCACTGAGTATCTTCCGCGACTTATCTGCTCAACCGTCTCATATCTCAAGCAGCTGGATAATGAAATGGGTATTCATGTTATTCCATACGAAAACCTACCAGTTAAGTTGTTGGATGCAATGCCTATGGATTCCTGTGTGATCGTACTGTTGAAAAAAGTGCTGTGAAAACTTCGTCCTCGTACACTAGATGTTTTATGGAAAGCAGTGGGAAAGAGGTGCTGTTTTTTTTACATTAAAGCCTTATGACGGGGCTTTTAACATTGTATGTATGCTGCAGTGCTATTGTGAAGGTGTATATTCGTCAGATAGAGCCTGACTGATCGTGATGATATGGACTGTAACGACGTAGTGTGTGTCTAAAATCGTTTTAATAAAATGTAGTCAACCTTTTTACAGCTGGTTGCAGTAGCATCTGACATATATGTCTTAATACGGACTGTAGTTACTGTAAAACAGGTTTGCTAATGCTTTAATTTGACAAAAACACCAGATATTTTTGTGATCTCAGAAGACTGCATGGACCTAACTAGGTGGGTCAGAGGGTCAAATGACCACCCACTTTGGACTTGCTCTCTTAAATTCTGAATACTTTCGTTTTGTTTCATTTCGTCTAAGGTAATTCGCTTAGAGTAAAAGAAATATGGAGTAAATTTCAATAATTTAAGGGAAAAGACCTAGTTTCATTTTTGCATCCCCTACTACCGACCTTCTTCCTAAAAAAACATCCTTTTTTAAATCCTCGCTTGAAATATGTCTTGCTCTTTTCCTACTCAAGGCCTTTAGTGACATTTTAACATGTCGAAAAACACTCCATTGCATCACACGTGGTAATTAATACAATCAAGAGTTCGAACTTAAAAATACCACAAACCCCTTTCTTACAGGTGAGACAAATTTACAGTTAATTCTCTTTTCTCCGAGATTTTTTTTTAAAGCGAGAAATCTTTTTGGCAAGGCACTCTGGAACACACCTAACGGTCTCATAGCCACTTTATTATATAGAGTGCGACACACACACACACACTACTCTGTAATGATTATAGTAGCTTAGTAAGTGTTCTCTAATACCGTGCACGTATGCCTATAGCTTCGTGTTGTGTAATTTCACTTGAACACAGCTAAATAAATATTATACACATTCAAATTCCTATTCTTTCTGATAAAAGTATAGTTTAATGCTATCTTGATAACTGAAGTATAATTTTACCATTAAAACCTACTTACGACCAAATCTAAAACAGTTTTTAATCTAAAAAAAAGTAGCCATGCCAACTGTGCACTCGTCAGAACCTTCACTAGGACGTGATGAGAAATCATTATAGAATTTGTTGTTGTTGTTCAGACTTTTATGTGTTTCCCAGAAATCCGACTACGTATAACCTTAGCAGATAAAAGTTTGATTTGGATTAAAGAGCTCAATATAATTTTCTAATTCTAAAGTATTTAAGTCTTTTGTTAATGTGTTACGAGTGGATTTAGTTGCAAACCTTTAAACATTTATATTTTGACATTTAACATTTTAGTAAATGTTTTAATTTATATTTTCATGAATGTTTTAATTACGGAAGAAAATATGTGCCATTTGTTGTTAGCGTAGTTAAGCAGTGAATATTGTTATTCTAATTTAAAATTCAAGATTTATGGTATTTATGTGAATTCCAGGCATACCGTGTGTTTTCTACATTTGATTTTAATGTAGAAATTTTTGAACTTTTTTTATTGTTCAAGTCTATGTAGTTTTCGCATAACGTGGTATAGAAAACTAATTTTGTTCCAGCTGCCTTTGTACCATTGTTATTCTCTGGAGATAGTACTATTATTGCTGTTATGTTGCGCGTTGTGTCCTCCACTGGCAGAACAGGTGATACCTCAAGGTTACAGCCTCTACTATGTTGAATGAGAATAACCAGCCACATAGTTGGTAATGCTAGTTACTGTGGGTAATTTTGATGTTTTCTGTTAACTAAGAAATGTTATATTTAACGTACTACATCAAATGAGTTGCTTTACGGGAAAAATGCTTGAAGAAAGAAAGCCATTTAGCCAGTTCACGAGTCCAGTGAAAGGCGACTGTTTAGTGGACAACGTATGTACGCGAAATGTGTTTATGTTTTAATGAATAAATAAAGATGTTTTTCATTTTGTATTACACATCGTGCCAGTCTGTTTATTTTCTTGCTTAAACGCTGTCGGTTAATTGAATTCAGTATTACTTCGTGATATGTCCTGTCGGTCCTCCAGTTATTAAGCGGACCTAACTACTCGTTACGGAAGTCAGTTTAATCTGAGAATACTAAATTATTTGATTTGAGTTTGATAAAATGTAAAATGTTAATATGAATTTATACTCAATAAGCTATTTGAACTTTTATTGTTCGTTTTTCCAAAGCTATTGTGTTTTTACGAACTGGAGAGAAACCATGTATACTTCGCAATGCAATTCTCCATCTTTTATGCTTGGCTGTGAAACGCGTTTCGTAGCTAAATAAGACGAAAACTGCAGTTCAATGCTTGAAAGGTTTCTCAAGTTGCTGTTTATGCAGAGTTATAGAACGAAAGAGATTCTCCGAAGCTATAATTATCGGACGATTAAGCTAACTTTAGTGTAGCCTTAAGAAGTTAGCAATTTCGAAAGAGATTTTATAAGAAAAACAGAACATTGGACAAATTCGCTAAACTGTTTTGTAAGGTTTAGTGTAAAACAAATAGTGTGTATTTTATTTAAAGGCTTAATGCTTCCATTTTTTTAAACCCCCGCGAGTTAGTGATTAAAAGAAGTACCCAAAATAAACAAGTAAAGAGAAAATACATTAAACATTCAGACATCAAAACATAGAAATAAAATATACAAAGAAGGTATTATTGAATATATATATATATTATTTATATTCTGACGTACTGGATGATGTAGGTTAGCTAAATAACTGCAGCTGTATACTGTCAATCACAATGTGGGTTATTTTCCTTCATATGCGGAAGCAGGTAGATCATGGCAACGTTTCCTTTCTATGGTTTCATTATAATTTGTGAG